GCATTGCAATACAAAGCAAATATGAAATAAATTTTTGAAAAAAAAAGAAAAAAAAAAAGAAGAAAACATTTACGACTAAATAGAGAATAATCGTAAAAATCTCCACATGATGTAAATAATTTACAGCATATTATAGAATGCATTAAAGCAAACAAGAATAATGTGAAAAAGTTATGGGACCAATTTTGACCACTCGCCGCTTAAAGACCATTTTTCCATCTTGTGAAACGCATCCCCATATGAATGCGCGGTCGATTGCGTGCAACATTTTTTTTCACATGCCACTTGTACATATTGTAATATATATATATATATATAACGAAACAATAAATTTTGTAGAGAAGTGGAAAAATGATTTCGTTTCGATAAACACACTGTGCTAGGTTGAGGTTGAAATTAACGGCGATAGCAAATGGCCCAAGGGGACGAGGAGTTGAACAAAATAATATGAATAAATAAACATCAGACCCTGTACGGCTACAGATTGTTTTAAGAAATTTCGTTACTACATTTGTAATCGTTACGTACGCGATATAATAGTCAAGTGTAACGCCACTCTTTAGCGATGCATACATATAAAAAAATATATGAATATGATAGTTTTTTTGGCGCCGGCTTGCTGGTGTCATCAGATTGTAAAGTGAAGCATTAAAAAATAAATTTCATTGCTGAGCGGAAAGCATGCATGCGTAGGATATGGAGTGGGGCGCCACAGTCGTCGAAAGGGATAGAAAATTCAAATTTTTAGTACAAAATCGTCTGAAATGAAATACAAATTGAATTCGGCAAGTCGAATTTGTATAACCTCGCCCCTGTTTGGTGGCTGTTTAACAATTATTGGCCTTTAATATACATAGGATATGTTGAAGAGTTTCTAAATTAAGAAAATGCACGATGCGTACGTTATTTTGGAAAATGAGTGATAATTATATTCTAGTATGCAATATAGAAATAACGGACTTAACCTGCGATCGAGATGCTCTTTGTTCACGTTAGTTATCGCGGTTTTTGTATAAAATCGCTCACCAATAAAATGGTATGATGTGGATGCTTCTGTCGCTAGGTTAATAGTTTGTGGAGATTAGGCGACCGTAAATTTGGAATAACTTGACCGGCAACAAATGCGATGATCTCGTCCTAGGAGTGTTATTATACCTTTGCGTGAAGTGGATTATTTAGGCTGTGTTATCCCTTGGATATCAACTAAATAATTCCAAAATAATGACTTGAAGGTTTTGTCGAAAGAAACGAACGCTATTCAAGAACATGGATAAACTTCCTAAGGAGTGAGCACAAGCATCTGTTATTTCTTCGATTGAATTCGAATAGTTTCAGAATTCTTCAGCACGTTCATAAACACCTTTCCTTCGATATACCTCTTCCACTATTGTTAGAAAAACTGAAAATCATCAGTCAGTGAATGTAATTACGGTTAATAAGATTTCTTCGCTTTAAAATAAAAAAAACACTATAGCCTTACACTATCGTACGGTTATTTATATGACTACTTTTCAAGATAAGACATTGTACGGAAAATGATCGAATGAGTGGTGTGATCGGAATCGCTTTCAACAGCGTTCGACGTTCGTTGGGCCAAAACAGGCCAATGCATAATATCTTGAAAAGTGCCGCCTGTAGTTTGCAGTTAGATGGACAGAAAGCAGATAGACCGACAGACAGGCGCACAAACAAACATATACCGATTCAAAAAATGATTCAGAAAATGATTCTGAATCGATCAGTATAATAAAAGGTGGGTTTATCCTAAGCCTTCCTGCGTATTACCTTACATCCTCATTAACTTAATATACCCCTAATATATAGCATCTTCTGCTTGAATCCTATAACTCCGAGAGAGGGAAAACTTTCTTTACACTTCAACAATTCGAAGAGGAAATCTTTCAAGAAAAGTTCAATATATTATTGCTAATATCTAATAACCCATAGAAGATATAGTCTTGAAATTATGTAGAGAAATTTTAGCCGAGTAGTCAAAGGGTCGTGACTAACAACTCGGTAGTCGCGGATTCAAATCTCAAATGCCATGCAGCTTGCAACGCAGGCATCTTTTCACAATAAGTTACTGTATGGGGAGCGGTTGAAAAGTTGGACGATCGAAATCATTTTCAATAGCGTTGATGCTTTATTCAAAGCACGCCAGTGCCTCAAATTTCATACAAAATTATAGGTTCACCTCAAATCCTTCTGTAGCACAATTGGTGTAGGGAGACAATAAGTGTTAAAATTAAAAGGTTTTTTATTTGTTTTTTATAGTTTCCAGTCAATATCGTACGACACCTTGTTTAGACTGCATATTTGACCTGGCATAGCATAATATAGATTGCAGTGCCGAACTATGATTTCAATTTCAAAATAGAAAATTCGAGTTTTTCGATAAAGGCTATGTGACAGTAGATGCCAGACGGCTGCGCATGCGTCCTTTCCTTTATTAAAGTGTGATTCTCTAATAGCCAGTTTCTGCTGTGGAATTTCCGCAATGACTATGAAAATGGGCAACTAATCGACTCTTTTCGTATACACAGCATTTACATTAAGCAGCAAGATTTTCCCTGATCTCAAGCTAAAAGCTATTCAGTGGCTTTTAGAGATTCTATCCAAAACAATTTCTATACTTGTGGAGTTTCACTAAAATGCTTCAATATTGCCAGGGATGAAAGAATGACTGACTAATTTCTCTTCACAGTAATTATACGCTTTATTTATTTTCTTTTATGAATCCTGTCATTTATTCTATCTGCAGTTGCCGAACTAGTACGTAGCGTTCTCCGCCTTATCTATTTTCATTTTACTATTCTCATCAGATTTTTATACATAACTTAAGATACTGCTTAGCTTGCATTTACCCGAAGGGCGGGTTTCAACGAAAGAACCGATTATTGTATCCTTACACTGGATGGCTTGAACTGACTACCGGCGTGAGATATCAAAACAAAAACGTTACGACTATTGCATCAGCGTGTAGGTCTGCTCAAGCGTCCTTTTATGGCAAACAAAATGTTTTTACAGTTTCTCCGAGTCTTGTCCTATAACGATTGCTTATCCCAATTAAGTGGGTCGTACTACAAATCCAAATAAGAATGGGTTAAATAAATTGCCCTGTGCCGTCGAAATTTTTCAAATCATTTGCGTATAACGTAATCTTATCATATTTATTTTACTTTACTGTACGTTCCCCTAGACGTAAAGTACTAAAAATTCAACTTTCTTAGTACATAAAACTTGATATTTATGAAGATATTTAGAGGGGGTTACTGCGGCTGATTTTTATGTTAAACTGTCATTATGAAGCGATTATTCACCATCAAGTATGAAAAATTAGCATTTTTTTTGGCCGTACGAAGACAGTGCTAAGAAAATCGGTCGATTGATTAAAATATTTTTACTTATTGTAAATACTCTTATGTAAGAATTTTTCAAATTCTTCTTTCTTTGTAGGGCAAATGGAGGTGACATTGCCTATTTCGCTTCGGCTTCGGGTATGAACAAACTTCGTGTATTGAACAAGCAGATAAGCTTTATGAAACGATTCCGAATCGATCGGTATTCCTACAGATGGGTCCTTCTCGGTGTGTTATACACATCCGCACGAATTTAATATACTCTGCGCTATTTGTGATATGCGCATGAATTATATGTATGCGACCAAACCAAGCTTCAACTTTGGTACTTACATTCTTGACAGCTATTTAGAGGGGTTGCAATCGACCCACGTCGCTTGCCTTCGTTTCGCGACTTTGATTAGATAAGTAAGAACACATGACATCATAATTGTTTAAAATAATTTTTACTATTTATTGAGACTCTTTTATGCGTATATATGCAGATGTTTGTATACTTATTTATTTATGTAGGTTTTTTTTATATAATTATTTCAGACAGTGTAAAATATAGAATATGTTTTTTTGTTGTTGTTGTTGTTTTTTCTTGATTTTTTTTTTTTTTATTCATTCAATTCATTTTTGTTTCTTTTCTTTTTAAGATGCAAAAAGAATATATATGTATATATGTGTATATGAATTTCTTTCAATTTTTGTTCCTTCTATAAAGAATTATCATCCTTTAATTTGAAGCCAGCAACTAACAAAAATACGAATTTTACGGTACAACTATATAATATTAATATTATTTACACTTAAAGTACATAAGATATTCATTATGTTTTCATTACATATATACATATACATGTATATTTGGATACATTTATTAAGTGACACTTAATATATTTAAACATATATGCATACAAAAGCATACATATATTATGTATGTATGTATGTATGTATGTACTTTTTACTTTTAATAGTAAAGCTATTTGCCATTGCCGTTGGGCACTAAGCTCTCTTTCAAAGAATTTCCTCTTTTCATATTTCTTAGTCACATTCCATATATAACAGGGAATAGCGAAAGAGTTACAATGAGTATAGTGCCCTTAGAATTTAAAATGAAAAAATTTTCTGGTTTTTCTTGGTTTTTTTAATTTTTCAAAAAATAAAATATTTTTAGTTAAACCGTTTTTCACTTACTTTTCTTCTATCTTAAACTTTAAATGTTGTTTGTCATAATTGTACTTAATTGTATTTGAGTGATATATATATATATATATATATATATATAAATATATATATTTATTATATATACGTAATTGATCCACATGTTAAATATTTTTATACGATTTTGTAGGTCTTGAAGGAAAGAAGATTAATTAGAATAATAATATGTTTGGTGAACTTAATAATTAAAATTTGTTCGTCTCTATATAAAATTTTTTAACGAGAGTAATTTTATATTTTAATTCAATAGATATTTAATATCATAAAAAATGTGCAATTACGTAAGGATTTGTAATTTTATAAGGATGTGTATATAAGAAGAAGATTAAAAAACTTATTTAAAAACTACTTTGAAAAGTGTATAGAAAAAGAAAAAAAAGAAAAAACAAATATTTGATTAATAAATAGAGTTTCATTTAGAGATTAAAAAAAAAAAAAAAAAGACCAAAAATATTTAAGTTAACAATTTTTAGTTAAGTAATCAATTAACTGCTCTTTTTTTTTATTTAGAATCATTTTGTTTTTGGCAAGACTTAAGAAGAGATTTTTCGCTTAGCACTTAATCCAGCCAATTATTAAAATATTATTAAAAATATTCTTGTTTAGATATTTACCCATTTATGTGATTAGTAAATAAATTTATAGTAACTTTAAACCTGTTCTGCTGATTCATCTAACACCATCGAATGTAAATCCATGGCTGAGCGAGTCTTACGCGGTGGTCTTGGTATTAGAAACCGATTGGGACTTGGGCCAACAAAAACCGAATTTTGTCGTGGCCGATTATGGCCAATAAAACCTTGAATTATAAATATTAATCAAATACAAAAAAAAAACAAAAAAAAACAAAGAATTAACAAGAGTTATTTAGAAGTGCTGTTAAAGAATCTTAAAATGAAATGATATAAATTATAGATGGCGCTGGTCTATCAATTATGATAAAATATGTATATATTCGCTTTTAAAATTGCAAGCTGACGAAAACTATGCATACGTAAAGCGTTCCACGAATTACACACCTTTTGGTGAAAGTGTTTTACTGAAAGACAAGAAAATTTGTGCATATTTTTTGGCGAAAGTGATTCATTTAAAGAAAAGAAAATTTTCAATGTTTATCTATTGAAGAAAAAGATGATGCAATCATATTGAATATGAATGGAAAATAATAATAATATGTCAGGGTTGACCTAATTTAGAAACGTTTATACTGTATGATATTTAATTACGGTAGCTTTGTATACTTCCTACATATATATTGTTTATAATTGTTTGTCGTGTAGGTGTTACCCCATACGAATCGAAAAAAAAAATATTACAGTTCTACGTTGTCGAATCTCCTATACCCACTACTTTTGCAGCACACTACGTATGTCTATAGGGTCCAACCGATGATATTACACAACGTACCTATTATCACTATTATTATTATTATTATTATAAATTTAGCCAGAGAATAAGGTCTAAAAAGACTAAAGTCTTAAAGCACTAGCCATCTAAGGCTTTCGGCTTTATTAAAAACTCTTACCGCTCTTGAGATTTGAACCCACGACCAATTAAGAGTTGCTAGTCGAGACTCTTGCCTACGCGGCCACTCAGGCGGATTGGACATATCTAACACTAGACTATTAAGTCAACCACATACTTTCACGGCAAATAAACATTAGTTACGCGAGCGAAGTAATTTGCGAGAGTCTTGCGACCGTAATGATGAATTGATTAACAACGGACTATGACCACGGCAAAAATAGACGCTACTCATTGAACTTTACTCTAAAAGTGTTGTTGTATAGAACTTTGGAATTTTTGACCGGCCAGAAAGAATCTAAACGCGTAAGTCAATGTTAAGAGTGAACCTTTCATATATCATTCTTTCATAGACTAATTAATTATTGATATAGACGAGGTAAGGGAAGCAAACTAAATTTGGTTTTTTATTTTTGTTTTTTTTTTTTCGTTCATATATGTGCACTTGAAACTAAAGCTTCATATCATTTATAGATAGTAGCTGGGTATGTCGCAGCTGTGGAACAATAGTCGAGATTATATACGTAAGTTGCAATTAAATTACTTGCGATGTATTGAAAGCAGCTATTGCTCATAATTATGAATGCTCGCAGCCGGCCGCTATTCGCTTGCTTTGCAAACATTTGATACGCTGTGATGTCAAAATTTATAGAATCGAGATCAGTGAGAATAAGCGAATTCTGTGGCATGTAGAATGTTTAAAATAATAAAAAAAAAAAATTGTTTGGTTTAATGGGTCATTAATGTTCGCTCTAACACGAATAGATTTTCTAAGATTTATTCTGAAAATTTTTCAAAATCAAGGAATAAAGCTGGAAAAAAAACCTATATTTAATGTTGGCAAAATTTAATTTTCTTCTACAATAACACATCATTACATCATTACAACGGACACGTTTTCTTATTCATCGTTTTCTCTAAAAATGTGTAGAATAAGATAATTACTTGGACTACATTATCTAATTTCATCTTAAACAAATATTTGCACATCGACTGCAGTTTGACACAATAACAAAAAAAAAAAAAAAAATAGAAGAAAAAATGCTCTCTGCGGTGTCAAATGTCATCGTATGTTTATTCAATTACTTTATATGTTTACCTTCTTCTGAAGGCAATAAATTAAGCATAAGAATGATAGAAATTTTAATTTCTTTCTCTTATGCATAGATAATTAAATGCCAACATCTTGGTAAAAATAAGAGCTAATAAAATCTCAGGGACTTTTCATGTTTCTGCTATCAATAACAGTAGCAGCGCTGTTAATTAGCAACCATTTAACTGCTTGCTCTTTCGTCCTCTTTAAAAAGAAATGTTGTTACAATTCTATAAACAACTCGAGGCCAAAGTCGACTATGATTTTTTTAGTGCGCTTTTTTTTTTTTTTTAATGACCAACCAGTCAAGGGATGTGACCGGGAAGGAATATAGAAGGAATGGGATGAAGAAAGGGAGTGGAGTTTTTTTTATGTTCGACACGAAAATGTCCTATTGAGGGATTTACACTTATCCCGAATGTACCCGTACACACAAGCACAACTCAGCCCACATTACGCCGATGCTCAAGAGTATCGAGAGTTCTAGATACAGTTTCGTCACCCATGAGCACCAGAGGTTTTCGCTGTATGCGGTCGAGGGCCTCCAAAAAAAGTTTGGAAACCTCCGTCCGATAAAGACGGTGTAAGTTACACGGATATCGGCTGCAGTGAACTATTTTTTGCACCGGTTTAAAAACCTAATCCCTATGGGGCGTCTTTTGACACTTCGAACAAATGTTCCGTTCGACGAACATTATTTTGTATTCTCATGCCTAGAACATCAAGGATTACCGATTCTTCTACATTGAGACCACAAGACCAGTGTATCATTAAAGTTTACCTTATTTACGCAACCCCATTCAGATATTTTAATGGGGTCCCGGTTTGTCCTGCATATCGCTGTTGCATGGTCTTTTACTAAAGGAAAACGAACGGCACAAGTTGCTTTGGCTTGCAGTGCGACCCAATTGTGCACACAAGGTCATTAGTGAACATCAGGAAAAGAGTTGGGGAAATAATAGATCCTTCTGGTGCATTTGCATGTAAATAGAATTCATTTAAAGAATAGCCGTCGATAACAGCTCTTATCGGACGGAAGAAACTCGATCTGAGTCGAGCGAACATGCTATCGACACATATTCCTAGACTGTTTAGTTTAGCAGGTTACTTTGGTCGATGGGGTTGAGACGTCAAACTTTAAATGCTTCTTCTCTGGACCTGACATCTGGACATCTTCGCAAGTCTGTTAAACCAGCAGTTTTCGCCACTTTTGAAGTGGATATGTTCATTTTTGCGACCAGGAGCATGGTTATAACAGGCATTACGTAGACGGAGAGACGGACATGTTTAAATTGATCCACGATTTAATACTGATCAAGAATACGTATGCGGAGCCTTTGATAATTTCTCTTGGCGTTGCAAACGTTTTGACAACATGACTACACCCTTCATTTATGGGCGATGTGTGTAAAAACTGTGCGTTTTCATGTGACCAGAATTTTGTTTTTTTGGATTTTTTATTTTCAATTTTAATTGTATGCTGTGGAATACGCATACGTTTCCTTTCTTTAATTTGCTGTATACTTATTTCATTTCCTGCTTTAACGCACGAAACATACTTTCCTTTTAAAAAGTGTATGCGTTTATGTTGGTAAACTTTAAGTGCAGGAAATAATTGCAAGACATCTTTTAAACGCGATCGTATTCAACTATAAGTGCTCCTACGACTAAAGACAAATTATCCTCATTAGGATAGAATAGAGTTACACAAGGTTAAATAAACAATAATAAGCAACACCTTATAAGATATATATATGCTTGAACGTCAGGCGGATTGAAGTCAATGCAAGCAGCTCAGTCTCTTAGTTCGTCTGCATGAATTTTACACAACATATTCAAGAAAAATAAGCCAAAAACATTATAGTCGGGCAACGTCGAACATTGAATATTCTACACCACTTGGCTTGGTACAGTTATTCACTTGTTTTGGTGACAATATATCAAAAAGTGTAGACTACTTTCAAGCATAGCTAAAATTTTTACGAAAGCTCGAGCATTAGAAGTTTAGATAAGAGTTTGCTTTTCGTGATAATGCCCATATATGTTCGGGTTCAAACAAATAGAACCATGTGACCCAAATTCGCTAACGTCAATTTTTTGGCTCAATTCATTTTCATCATAATATATTAAAAAATTAAGCATATTTTCGAAAGGCTTCTTAATGATGAGATATCTTATATGAAGTGGAGCCAAGAAATAGACCGATGTGGTTCAAATTATAATTATTGTGATTAACTTTTGTATTCTACTACTATTATGAATAAAGTTTCAACAATTAAATCTTTTTAGCATATAAGTGCTGACCTTGCATAAGAATCCTTATATGCGATAGTATCTAAAAAAACTTACGTTCATTGTCCAAATTCGGTAAGGTTGGTGTTTTCGGTAATTTAATATTATGAGCCAATTTTCATCAAGAAATATTGAAAATAAGTCTTTTTTGCCACATAAAAATTCAATTCTCGTATAATCGATTATATGAGGGAGAGTTCAAAAAAAATTGCCCCAGCTATTTAAAAGTTTTCACACCAATTTAGAATGCCGAAATACTATGCCTTAGACACTTTTGCCAAGAAATTTTGAAAATTGTAAGTGTGAAGTGATCGAAAAAGTGGACCGATCCGAAACATTTTCAATAGCGTTCGTCCTTGCATCAAAACCCGTCACTATACCAAATTTCATCAAAATATTGCAAAAATTGTAACTTGAACACAAATTTAGATTGACAAACATCAGGCGGACAGACGGACAGGCAGGCTTAGATCAAATCAGATTATGATTTTGAATTAATCGGTATAATAAAAGATGGGTGTATCTTAAGCACCTCTGCGTGTTACATACGACCGCATTAACTGAACATACTCTGTACCACAAGTATGGTAAATTGTAAAAATCCTTCCCTCGGACTAATATAACTTTTAAAATTCGGAAGAGAAAACAACAAAAAAAAAAAAAAAACAGAAGAAATTCTTGTAATTTTTATTAAATCTCTCGACTCTGGTTAGTAGCTAAGGTTCAGTTGAACTTTTTTACTTCTTTCCACACGTTTACGTTTTTCAGTATATAATTTGGACTCGAAATCTCACTGTGCGACAAAAAACCGACGTAATTATCTTAATTTAAAACTTAACGATTACATTATATGTAACAGTAAACGAATGGCGCACTTAACGCAGATACTTATGCGTGCCAATATTGTTAAATGTGTGCATGAATATTATAAGTTTCACGTCCAAATGATAGACTTTACACATCTTATACGAAACTTAATTACATTTTTATATCCATCACCGGATGGATGGGCGGTATATTCATTTTATCGAAACGTTTACAACGCCCAAAAGAAAGCTTCAGAGACTCTATAAAGTACATATATTGTTGATTAGCGTGAAATTCTGAATTGATTAAGCCATGTACGTCCGTCTGTCTTTCTGTGTGGTGTTTGTTCTTGGCACTCTCCTGATCGCAAAAATGGAGATAACGACTTTAAATTTTGCTAGAAACGATGATAGTTTTTGCACGCAGATTGGATTTTGAAAACGGGTTCAAATTGGTCAGAGCAGAAGCCCGCAGTGGTGACTAAATGTCGAACGTAGCTTCGTTTCTCTTGTGGGTTTTCGTTCGTCACCTAGAAATTGAAAAAGTTAGAAGGTTGAATTTTTCCACATTTGCTTTACGAAACACTATACTCTTTACGTACAAACATGGAAAAAATCGGTCATGCCCATATAAAGTTACAAGAGATGAAATTTTATTTTTGGCATTTTTTTTTAGGTTCCACGCTTATTTATCTATCATAAGGCAAAGAAGATAGAATGCTTAAAATTATTTTATACATTCGTCAAATGAAGATATATTATCTGATCTGATTAGCTAAAATTGGGTTAATTCTAATTCTAAAGTAAGTATGGTGGATACCACGACCTGGTTCATTAAATTTTTCTTAAAATACCGACGATATGGGTTTCAAATAAAAGGACTTGGAGAGTAGAGGAATGCGAAAAGCAAAGCGGTGGGTTTGCGATGTTCGGCCCTCAACGAATATAATTTTCTTGCTGGCTATAATTAATTTAGTTAAGCAGACCCCATTGTTTGTCTGAAAACAAAATAATACGGGATAGCGACGTAGAGTTTTTTTTTGTACCCTACACCACCTGTATTACAAGGGCGCATTAAGTTTGTGAGGATGTATACTATACCCAGAAGAACTTGGGGTAGATCTGCCTTTTAAGAAACCGATTGCTTCAGAGTCACTTTCTAAATACACTTAAGGTTATGCGTAAGTTTGTCCCACTGTCCGGCTTGTTTTCTTGTGTTCAACTTACTGATCACAATTTTTGAGATATTTTGATGAAATTTGGTACACCGACTTGTTTTAGCCAAGGGATGAATGCTAATGAATGCTGGTTCGGATTGAACCAGTTTTTCGACTGCTTCCCGTATAATATCGTATTAATTGTATTAAGTGGAGTAATCTAGGATATTTATTGGCGGGCCTGTGACGTATTTATAAAATTCAATTTTTGAATATTAATTTTTCAATTTTTAGCATACGTCTCGCCAATGACTCAATTACAATTCGTTTTAAGGTCATGGACTTTTCTGACTTGTTAAAGCCAATCAATGATATTGTATTAGCGAAGAGATAAAATTCCAATGGGATTACATCGTGATGATCTTGATAGCCTGTCCAGGTCATTCATTGCTGATTTCAAGTTTTTGATTGGTAAAAAAAATTATTTTTCGATGAACTTTTTTTTTACATACTACTGCCGATGTGGTGAGTATCAAGCATTCTCCTAAGATTCGAACTAAATTATCTCTATGAAACTATTCTATTCTCATGTCCTTCGTATGAACAGCTATTACTGGAATTATGATGGCCTCATTTCGCTAAATTTTAACAGATTAATGCCTTTAGCATGTGAAATTGTCTTTTGAACATATTCTCTTTATCTTGTCTGCATTAATTTTTTAAGTCATCAACAAGCTCACAATAGAAAGGCACACAAACGTACTTAGTTTATATATCTGTTGAGAAGGTTACGCCACTAAAAAAAATATTTATCATATATGAAACGGCAAAATAGTTTTCTTTTCAAAAGCATGGAAAACTTTTTTCCTCTCTTTCAGGCAAAAAAAAAAAAAAATAAGAAGAAAATAAATCTCTTTGTGCATAACACCTATTAAGGCATTCGCGACATTGCCATGACTGCACTGGTTATACATGCTTCTCGGCTGACTAATGTAAAGCATTTTAAGTAGATAGAAATGAGGTGACAACGACATAGATTTTGATTTCCGTTGCTGTTTGTGGCGATGTTCCGGAAATATATATAATCGGAAAGTGTAAACTCAGAATTAAATTTGAGCTCGCAAGAATTTTACTTGTTATGTTAAATGCAATTTTATCGTGTATGCGTGCATGAGCGTAGACATATGCGTCTGCATATATATGTGTATGTGTGTGTGTGTACATATAATAGGCAGTCAAAAGCTTATTCAATGAGAAACTAATTGAAAAAATGTTGGTAAAGTTACAGTATAAACGCGTATTTGTAAGTGTGAATGTTTGATGCTTGAATACTTCTCAAAATATTTACCTTTTGAGTATATTGTTGGATTATAAGCTGGAAATTGACAAGTTGGCATATTTACATTATTAACCAAACCCATTGACATACGGGTTACTGAGGAACGCTAAAAATAATTGTGAAATAAACAAACAAAATACAAAAGTGCTTAATTATTATACCCATCAAATCCGGCCGAATCAGGATTAGAGTAAATTTGTCGTTCGGCTTGTTTATCCCAAAGATATACAAAATGCTAAAAAAAACTAAAAAATAAATATTTCATAAAACACATTTTTCGCCAGAGTAAGGCATTTTTTTCTCTCTTCTTTCTTACCTATGCACGCACATTGGTCAATGCACAGGTGTAGCTGACTATTAAACATTTCAAGCAATATCGCTTGAAAATAGCACTTCACCCTTTTTGGGCATAAAATACTGCAAATCAAATGTTGTCGCCATGTAAAAGCTTATTGTTCATGTTCAATCTCTATGTTGGAGTGATCCAAATTTAATAAGAACCTATGACTCTAATGAACCTAATATCATTATAAAATGCTTGTCGTCATATAGAGACTTCATTTTGCCTGAACGCTCTTACATGGTAAGAGTTCGGCAAATTGATTTATGTGATCCAAGCTTAACTATAGTGAATGTATAAGTGAAATCGGTGTTTCAGACCTATCTCCCTCAGAATTTAAAAGATTGTATTCCCATAAAGGGTTATACTGTATTTTGTCTGTCTGTTAGTCCGTCCATTTTTCCGTCTGCTAAACTGTGCGGTATCTTTCTCCCTTCATAAAAAAGATGCCATTACCTACACATATGTAAAAGAGTCTGAAAAGAGGCCCAAATAGGTCAAAGAACACGCCTTTGCAAAAAAAAAGAAACTCTGTACACCTATGATTTCCGTGTCTTTTGCCGATAACTACACGATCAAAAATCAGCCATCTCCACCCAATATTATATAATATACGATATTATATTTGCCCCTTTTTTTCAATCTTTTATAGGGTAAACATGATGGGTACAAAAGATTCGATCGCAACCGAATATAATTAATTCTCGTACTCTTTCTTTTATATAAAAAAGGAAGACATTTTTTTTAGTATCGCATAATTTACACGCACCTGATGTGTCTGCATTGTCTCGATATCAGCTAGGGGACAGGAAGCTCGATGTTGCTGCTGAAATTTCGGTTGATACGGTTCAAGCATACGTATTTTACCCCAACGGTTAAAGAATAATGCTATTGCGCCGACCCATAGCATCAGGACCAAACCGACTATTAATACTTCCTCGGTACGCACAATTATTTTGGGACCTTGGAATTGGGAAATTTCGAATGTAAGTAATTTAACATTAATATGTGCGTGTGTGTGTGTGTGTGTGGGTTTGTTTGTGTGAAGAAGGCGAATACTTACCATGTACAATGTTTGTGGCATTCCTTATTTCTGAACTTGTCGCATCTTCCCGACTGCTTAAATAATCTGTACTTATGGGAGAGACAGTTACGGTCTCTTCGATTTCTACTATGAAATTCGTACCTTTCCAACCAGAGCCCCATTCTAAAGAAAAAGATATATAAAAAAAATTTGTAAAATTACGCCATGTGTTAAAAAGAGATTGATTTAAGTTCCCATTAAAAGAATTTGAGCCTAAGCCAGTCAGTCTCTTTTTGCCAATTTTAGTTCATAGAAAATGTTCGAAATTTTTTTTTTTTTTTATAAAGATGATCATCATACATCTCAACAATTTAACATTTTAATCTTTTTCGTCCGTTTTGGCTTTCCTATAAATGCGGACACGGTCTCTGGCCACTTATGAAATCCATTGTTCCAGCTCCGACTTAGCTCTCTTTGTGAGAATTTAACAAAAACCAAATTCATCTCCTTAACAGCTCCTTAGGGCAATACCATTCGATCATTAATTAGAAAGTTCCCAAATATTACGCATTTTATGTTATGCGATATTTACACTGCGGTGGAAATATCTTAAGCACAGTTTATCTATCCGTTAACAGAACAGATATTAAATTTTCAATTGACTGACGATTCTATTTGAAATTTTAATCCCTTTATAAATGAGAATTTAAATAAGTAAGCCCTTTATTTCCATAGTGGGCCAATTTGGTCGTATTTCCTTGTCATCTCTTAGTTTAATAATCGTTTGCTTAAGCGAAGGTGCTTAAATGTCTGAAAGAAAACATTTCTATTCATTTTTTTTTTAATTTAATTATTTATCTATGAAATTATGCAGAATTAAATTAGTAAAGTCCTTTAAAATAAGCTGATTAATTTAAAAGTTAGATATACTATATATAAAGGGTTGGAGTAGTATGCGAGAAATTTAATTTCGTCTAAACGCCCCAAGCTTTTATGTGTAATTACATGAAAAGTTACTAATATCAAATTATGTAAAATAGTTTAGGTTTTAATAAAAGTTTAAAAAACATGTTTATCTTCTTCCGGTGCATTTGATACTCATATCAAGAGTATTGATCATGGAAAGCTTCATTTAGTCAAATATAGTAGTAATTCAACATTTTATGGTGTCCGTCATTTTGAATATGCAGGAAAATTGATTGCACTACGCTATATTGACATCGGAGGAAAAGGGGTAAGTAAAATTTTATCATTGTTACGCAAATGGCTAGCAATTTGCCTTCTGATATGGAAGTGGGTTAAAAGGTAAGTAAAAACATTTTTCGGCCGACAAGCATATGATCTGTTAGTACGATTAAAAGGCAAGATATGGCCGCAAAAACGGCTTCAAATCGCGAAGAGGAAGATTCTCGATCACTAAGACAATGCATTATGTCACAAGTTAATCGCTATAATGACAGAATTATATTTTCTAGATCTGCAGACCCCTAGCGACCATTAACTGATTCAAACTATCTACAGAGGATGCGAGAGGGACAAATATTTCGATTATATTTTCAACGCCTTGGCAAATTATTCCAAGAAAAAGAGATATCGAAATGTTTGAAAAATACTGGACTAATAAGAGCAATTTTCGAAGGAAACTTCGGCGTCGAATACAGTCAAAGTTCCGGGACTTATTGAGCGAATTTCCATGGTTTACGCATACTTTTGCACAATCGAAGAACTTGTAATAGAATAAAATGAAGCAAGCAATTTCAAGAATAAATCCTGAATGCCGAACGAGCTTCACCGATATTGAGGTATTAAGAGTTGCTTGCGTTACAATTGCTAATTAATTACAGATTTTGTTTTCAAGTTTCATCGAATTGAAATTGGCGTAAGAAAATCCGATGAATTTTGGAAAAAATTCACTTTACTCAAATCTATGAAAGAAAACTTGTCGCTGGAGGTGATAAAGAAAACATTTCTTTCAGCGTTTCAATGCGTAAACTGTTTTATTTAAGTGGTTCGCAATCTTTCAAATATCAAAGTAGACGTGACTGATGCATGTATAATCCATATAGCTCGTGCAAGTTAGATATAATTAACTTTTTAACGATTATAATTTGGATCGAGTACAGACAACATTCAGATCATACGTGAATCGACTTTTCTTATACTCACCATTGGAGGTAAAAGGGTGTTATGTTACTGACTTGGATTTACAGGTCAATTTTGAGATTGAATCAATAGCCAGATTAGTGGGAATGTGGTAAAATAATGATGGTGATAGGTGAACCTGTTAAACCAGAGAATCACATCAACTATTGCAAGTCATTTAGACCTTTAGTCACCTTATCGTAATTCTGCTCCGAAGGTTGCAGCCAATAAAGAGCCTGAATATCAATTTAGGTTTCACCATACGCATGGTAATACTGTAATACTGTTCAGCAATGTTCCCGGATGTAAAGCAAGCTTTGCCAAGAGTTTGGCATGTTGGAGTGGTTTTCAAATTTGAAAAAGAATCATTGTGCTCCTCTCTATCTAGTTCTTCGTCAATATTTACAAAATCGCTGCATTCGTGTTAAAGTTCACAAGGAAATATCAGATGTCTGTGAAAACGATGCCGACATTGCACAGGGTAGTATGTAAGTCACTGTGCTCTGTACAAATTTCTCGCGTGGATATGCATCTGGCTGAAGATGTCACTGTCACTATATATACGTATGATATGGCTTTAATTGCACGCGGCGAACGTAACACCGAACCTGCAACTTTTGTCCAAATACATCTTTATAAGATCTCTATGCGGCTAAAGAAATGGACGAGCAAGACTTCATTTGCAAAGAGGTCTAAGAGTATGTTCCTATAAAAACAGCGTATAATTTTTGTGTTCTATGGCGAAAAATATATATTGCGTTAGACAATATCGTGTACAGGGTATTTAATAATCGGCCTAGCCCGACTATAACGATTTCACTTGTCTTACTTTATGTAATGTGTGAATATGTGCAATTTCGTGGTAAATAAGTTTCGTAATAAAAATAAATTGTAATCACCTTCTGAAACTTCTGATGTTGTTTTCACGCCCGCCAGTGTGTTCTCCAGTTTGATAGCTGCAAATAAAAGTACAAATAGTTTTCTTTTAGCTATAATTTACAAGAAAGTTTTATGTATCATAAGTTAGATAGCTTGTTAATAATATATTCAATAGAATGCAACAGATTATATTATACAACAATTGATTCGTATAATAAATCAAGTAATTTTCTGTTCAATTTGTGCACTTGATTGTTTAATGCGCACTGTACCTATGCGTATATATGTATATTTACTTACATCTATCTATACATATTATATAAAACCGAAGTCAATTATCTGAGTTTAAGAGTCTTAGCAATAAAGCGAACGAAGTGCCATTTCCGTTGGCGTTGGCTACGTGCCAACAGCGTTGAATTTATTACATGTAGGTGACGGTATCTTTAAATATAATAAGTATGAAAACTGCATTCAATTCAAGACGAATCTTAGATACAATGACCTTTTAAACGGAATACATGAAACAGTACTTAATCTACTTCTCACTTACCGAGATGTGAAGAAAGGCGACAAGTGAAGAAAGGCGACAAGTGAAGTAAGCCGAGAAATGAAGAAAAGTGACAAATGAAGAAGGGTGACTAGTGAAGAAGGGCAACAAGTGAAGAAGGGCGACAAATGAAGACGGGTGACAAGTGAAGAAGAGCGACAAATGAAGAAGGGCGACAAGTGAAGAAAGCCAAGAAATGAAGAAGGGCGACAAGTGAAGAAAGCCGAGAAATGAAGAAAGGCGACAAGCGAAGAAAG